TGGCCAGCTGAAACATCGTGGCCCATGGCATCCCCCCCCTTTTTTTGACCCCACTGGGATATGCAATAGGGATTAAGTATTGTAGTCATTTATGTATCCTGTGAGATGTGCATTTTTGCCTAAACTGTTTTAACCGTTGAGTTTTACTGCACTTGTGCCTTAACTGTTTTAACTTGTTGTATTTTTACCGCACTTTTGTGCCTGTGTAAGCCGCCCTGAGCCCACGTGCGGGGAGGGCGGGGTATAAATGAAATAAAATAAATAAATAAATAGATCAGGGGTGTCGAACTCCTTTATTATGAGGGCCAGATCTGACATAAATGAGATCTTGTTGGGCTGGGCCAGGTGTCATAAAGTTTGATGCCAGGTAGCAAAGATATAAATTTTATAAATGACATAAACACAATTAAATATTATTTAAAACTAAAGATAAAACATGCTTAAAACATTAGTACTCTTGCAATATTTTGTTTAACAGCCTCTGATAACTGACACCTCTTGCTCTGAATTATTGCATTAAAATCTGGAGACAGTGTGCTGTAGCAATCTTGAGTATGCTGTTCCAGGTGTTGTTCGGGTGTGTATCTGTAAGTTGTAAACCTACTTTTGATTTATTGACATGCATTACAGAAATCTCATTGTCAATGTTCTGAGCCTAAGGGAAAGCGTGAAATGGCTGATCATTGTGAGCTTTTGTACATAAGTGTCTTCATGTGCTGGTCAAGAACATGTGGCACCATGACACAGACTGAGGGCTATGTTTCTGTCTACAAAACTATAATCTTCCACAGAGAAATAACTACAACTCCTATGAGGCAGTGCATGAATAGAGAGACAGCAGTGCATGTTGGTCAGTATCAGCCTAGTATCTGAGAAGTCTAGGTTCAGAATCCCCAGTCTACAAAGGAAATGTGCTGGGTGAACTTTCAAAAGATGTAAAATTTTCGGAAAATTTGAAGCTCAGAAAACCAGTTTTTTTTTCCATTCTCCCCTCCCCCAAAAAAAACCCCAGAAATTTTCAGAAAAATTGAAAAAAAATACTACATTAGTACTTCCTTTTTCTTTTCCAGATTGAAGTCATTCTGTTACTTTAGGAACATAAAATATGACTGTGGACATTTTTACTTGGCATGAAATTATCACAACTAGCATATCAAAAATATAGTGTATCCAAACAATTATTACCAACAGAATACCGACCCACATGCAAAAACAAAACTGAAACATTTTTCTTTTCTTGTGATAATAGCACCTCCTAAAGGAAGAAATGTATCTTGTTCTTGAATTGGAGAGTTCAGTTTGTAACCTAGAACTTGCTTGTCCTCAGTGCACAGAAACTAGTTCAATCTGATACCATGCATATTTTTTAGAAATTATTTGGAAAATATTTGAACACCTTGTCTTAAAAT